TAAGACCTAAAAGGAACCTTATTTGGTTCACCCCGTAGGATGTGCGATCTCTTACGCCTTTTAAAATCTGTTTGCATTTGGAACGACTCATATTCTAAATCAACTGTGGCATTACCTCGACATCTGGCGCGTAATACCAACAGAATGATAATCCTGCGATCCATATCAACCAAAACCAATAACTTTCACATTAATGCAATTAATTTCATGAACTGCCGCTTATGTTGTCACTCCATGTGGGCCTAATCCTCTAAAACTCGTCCCGTTACTTATCCTCTTATATGTAAATCAATCGGTCGTCATCGCCTGCTTCTTATCGTACCGTACTGGACTGCGGATCATCCATGCAACGTTACGCCAATGATATTTCCAGCTGCAATAAGCTGTTCTTCTACTCTGCTAATTTTCGCTTTTTATGTTCTTTTAACGTAGTTCTTTAGCGGTTTCGAGAAAACGATGTAGTAATATTTATAATGGAACGAGAAAATATTAATGTATCTTATGCAAAAAATGCTCGTAAGATTTATTAATATTTATGAAATACCGCAAAATTCTAGTCCACGTTTCACTGTTGGCTTCTTCTAATCCATAGAATATTTATGTCTATTGGTTAATCAGAAGTTCACACCCAATTTTAAGAATCCATGTTTGGCACAAATAAAATTAATGGGTTGGTATGACTTTAGAATTAAAAGAGCAATAACTTTTGAGAAATGGCAACAATTAGATATCCTTTGAGACACAGTTGTATTAACACAAAACCATAACTTCCTTGTTTCGTTTACTGTCAATGATATATTCAGTTTCAGAGTTTCTTCTGAAGAAGAAAGCGATATGTCTCTCGAAACAATAAGATGATGGCATCCGGCCTAAAAATTGTTGAGTGACAACTGCTATAAATTTGACTTGTTGATAAAATGTAAGCTTAAAACCAACAATCCACAACAATTCTGTTATAATTTTTACTTCATAATATAGAATATACATGTTTTAAAGAAAAACTCTCCTATATTGATTCTAACAGAAGAATTAATTATCTAAAATTTCTCGGAATAATAATTGCCGTAATAACTGATTATCACGACTGACAATGACAAAACCGTGATCGAGGAGTGCGGCCTACACAAAGTGCAATTAGCCGAATGAATAAAAATGCAATCGAAATGATACTATACTAGTTTCAGTTTATAATACCGAACTCCCCCCCTTCCCTTGCTCCTACTAGAACGCTGATTTATGTTATCCACTGGATAAAAACCGATTGTAATCAGATACTTGTCCGTTTGCGTAAGCCTGCACGATTTACACCAAATGGGAACTTCTTGCGGTTTGAAATTACAACTATTTTTATGGGACCATATATTAAAAGAGTTGTAAGAGTTGGGCAACGGTCTCGACGGTGAGTGAATTGATTGAAAATTTATTCGTTGGTTTCCATTAGCATTCCAAATCCGATAGCGTTTGGGTCAATATATTTTCAGAATCGATTGGGAGAGATCTTCTGATACGTATCAGTGATACAATCCACGACCTAACGAATTTTTAAGAGACGCATTTCTTTCCTATGCCATATTTTCAATGTTTCAACAGGCGGATTCAAACAGATCACGCATATATACACAAAATACGTCCAGCGTGATGATACGTGACTAGAGTGAGGTTGACGTGTGTATCACACAAATCCACAAAATAATGCGAGAGATATCACACGTCCATAAAATACATCCAATATGTGTCTAAAATGAAGTTGATTTCACACATATCCAGAAAATAATGTGCTGGGGTGCTTGAAGTGAAGTTGGTATGTGGTTTCACACATCCACAAAGAACGTCTAAGGATGTTAAGGTGCTTAGAACGAAATTAATCCACAAAATAGTGTACTGGAATGCATAAATATCACGCATGTTCACAAAAGTGTGCTAGGGTGTCTAAAGTGAAGTTATTGTGTGATATCACATTTATCTACAAAGTGTATCTAAGTACGCTTGAGTGCCTAGATTGAAACTAGTGTGATATATTACACATATCCACAAAATGGTGTGCTAGAGTACCTGGAATGAAGTATCACACATATCCACAAAATTCGTCCAAATGTGATGTGATATCCAAAGTGACCATGGTCGATAGGAAAGGATCTTTATGTATGTAATTTTTTTGCAACCCATTCTCTGTATTTAAATTTTAAGAAATTGTGAAGCTTTTAGAGAAAGGAATAATTTTTAATTATTTCCTGTTCGCGCGAAAGAAGAATGCTTTCCAAAAACATATATTCAAGCATTACATCTTGTAAGTTATCAACATCATGTTAAATTTAAGATTCCAATAGACCATATGTCACATGTTTACTAATCCTAGTAAAAATGTATGTATCTAGTTGTTTATATTACAAGCTAATTTATTAATCAGTCTGTATTAGAATTTTAAATTCGGCTGTGTTTGCTTTATAAATTGGATTTCGAACGTAGAGATTGGTCAGGTCAGCAATACGAAATTCGATAGACTTGTCGAAAAAAAAGTAAGAAGTAAAAGCAAAGCTACAAAACCAAATTTTTAATTAGTTTTTGAAATTTGAAAGGCGCTTCCGTAGACCATATGTCACTTTCATAATTCTTATAAAAATTAATTTATTCCCTTCTTGTATCGGTATTAATTCTGTGTATATACTGAAAAGGTGAACAAAATTTATAAACGTATTTTGAATTATTATTTTAAATTTGATAGAATCTGCTTTAAACAATTTTTATTAGTGTTAATTATTTAACACTATTAATTAATTATTAATTATTAGTGTTAATTATTATGGAGAGTAGTAGTCCAACCACATTACACTTGGAAAAAAAAATTGTTGCCAGGACTTTTATAAGTGGAATGGTAAAAGAGCTTATAATAAACCTAAAAAAATAAATACGTGAGCAGGGGAAGGCGGAGGGTTGATTTGGGGGGTTGAAAAGTTGTGAAAAATTGTATCATTGTCATTTCTAGCGAAAGTTGACATCAAACAAAAAAGTATCCAATACAAAATTTGTAGATCATGCAAAAATCTACAACTTTTGTAGAGGCCACTTTTTAAGATTACCTCAAAATTTCCAAGAAAAATGCGAAAAACTAGTTTTTTCTGATTCTGAAGATTCCTTTAATTTGTACCCTTTTTTACCCTCATATTTTTCGGACACTATAAACTTTCTTATATGTTACGTCTAATTCTGATAAAATTATCGCTAAATCGCCTATAGAAATAGAAACAGGACGTCATCAATTCACCGTCCCAGTCATGCTAATTTCAATATCAATTATTCAATTCCTTATAGCACCGATTCTATCGTCGGGCTAATAAATTGCCACCCACAATCCACCTAGTCAATAAAAGTCAATATTTACCAAACAATTTATATTACTTCGGAGGCGGTGGGCGTAGAAAGCGTGTGAAAAAGAAAGCAAAATCCAAATCACAATAGCTAAATGGATTTTGATACAATGATTGTCACATTTTCACGCGGCGAATTTACATTATAATAAGGACCTTATTGAACAGCTCAAAAAAGGTGTTTTACGATCGAATTCGCTGTTCGCTGTCTCGACATAGTAGCAGCTTTGATATACGCTGTTCGATTTAATGAATGCATGCCTATTGCGATGACATCATGTCATTGTGGGAATCGCTTGCATTATTGGCACGGCATATTGGATTGATGTTCTTGGGTTTTTATTGAATTCAAAATATGTTTCTTTTTAATGAACAAAATACATGAACTGGTGAAGCTATATCAGCTGCATTCGGAAAAAGCGACGCAACAATTTTCCTTTAAACATTGTTAAGATTGCCATATTAAACAGAGAAGCACGCGGATGTCGTCTTATGTAACGCTAAGTAGACTTCGTGGAAAAATTCTTTCAAAACCGCGTTACATAAAATATACACACTCGTAAACTGACCACACTTTATACACCAGTAGTAAATAAAGTAGTTATAATTGTCAACACCGCAAATATGCTATACACGTGGTGTTCGTACATCTTGTCTGCTTTTAAAAATACACAAGGCGTCCCAGAATAGTTCAACCGGATACCGCGGCAAAAATAAGCCTGATTGATGGTAAACAGCAAATTAAAATTATTTTGAGCCAAAATTATGGTCTTGCATTGAACTACACATCCGAATTTGCAGATAATTTAATTTAATTTGCAACATTCCTGTATTTTGTAACACTTTGTATACACAGAGAAACTATTTGTGCATATTGTCTGGAGGTCAAAGGTTGGACGTGGGTGGAGCTAGTTTGTGAAATACGTTACTGGAATATGCCGGGCATAGTAAATGGTGAGAAAATAAATATTAATAAATGATTTACATAACCTTGCAACCCCCGCATGCTGTGGAACGCTTGGGAAAAATTGTTTTCATTCTAGTGATTCCAGTATAACTGAAACATACTCGATATGGGTCTGCTGAGGTCTGTGGTTTTAACCAGAAGATGAGTAGGAAATAATTAAACATATATATGCAACAATATTACGTACTAATTGATGAATACACCAGACATATACCGGTTTCGGACTTGTTAGCCCTCATAGGCTCTACAGGACAGAGAAGTACAGTCCCTACGATATTTGTTGTGATAGAATTCCATGAAGACCCCTGCGCCACTTTCTTCGAATTAACCGCATTCCACACCCAAAGCAGAAAAGACATGGGCGAAAAATTTCAATCATAGTCCGATAACAGAACTTTATTGGCTTCTTCTTTTCATGGAATTCTATCTCAACGAATATTGTAAGGATTGTACAAATAAAAGATGTAACTGACAGCGACAGCTAGTGGTTAATGCTGCTAACTGCCTGAGACCTACAGCCAATATAAATTTTTCGCGAAGAAAACGGTTTTGTGTTTCCCCAAATTCTAATTTTAAATATTTTATCGTATGCATCCAAACAAAAAATTTAATACTCTTTGGAATCTGCTAAGGAAAAAATTTCTCTTGAAAGTACTAGAAGAACTTACCTTGCATCCTTCGCACGTGAAGGCACCAAAATGGAAGCCGGCTGCGGGTTCTCCGCATACCTTACACAACTGGTTCATCTGAAAAGAAATCAAAACTTCAGGAAATGTTCATAATATACCTTAATAGCATATAAAACCCTCTTATTCTGGCAGAACAAAAGAATGCAAATTTCAGGGTCAGCCTGTTCACCTGACCTTAACCCCATAGAGCGTGTACCCAGCCACTACAAAATTATAATTAATTGCAACAAACTATCCTAGAAGAATGGCAAAAACTACCACAAAATATAATTTTAACTAAACACCTAAACATCAGGTCTAGGAATCTCCCTCCCCCTCCCCCGAGTATTTAAATGTATCTTCTGATGAAGACATACCTTTTGCAGAAACGAAAATTCATTAATTTACGCCAAAAACACATTTACTTGTTTGATATTAAATCTGTATTCCTGTAAGTGTTAAAAACTGTTTCTAAATGCTGTAGATTTTCATTCCCAGACATAGTCATCCAAATAACAGAACATAAAATCAAGTCCTGATAGAACTTTATTCATAACTCTTCACCATATTTGCTCAAACGTTTCTCAAGCCGAACGGCATTCGCAAAAATTCAAAGAGTCCAAACGGTGTAACGACAGCGGTCTTATGAATATCCTCGTTCATGTCTCTAGTATTTAGTGTTTGACATAGAGAAATGACATTTAAGGTTCTTACCGAAAACCCTTCATCGTAGTTAATTTCAGTGTCTTTATCGTCGCTGGGCGTTTATAACGACGTTCGTAGGAATGCGCGCACACCGCGATTCCTCATTCACATGCCAACGCAATCCTCAATGGCCGATGTTAATCAGGCATTCCCCTCACAAGCAAATTTAATCAGCCAGAGGAGTCAGAAGGAAATAAACAAGCAATCTGAAATAGAATCTCGGCCACGTACCGCCAGATAGACATATCTATATGCGAATAATGTGCAAGGCGAATGCATTAAATACCGCGAGTTATGTAAGGAATGATTCATAGTGCCTACTGAATTCGATCAATCATACATCTTTTGGTCACAAAAACAACACTAATTTAGTCACTATTAGTCTGTTTTTTTTTTGAAACCTTGATAATAAAGACAATTTATTGTCTTACAATTCCCATGATAAGTTATGCTAATAATCACCTTAATGGCCAATTATCAGAAACACCGAATAGTTTTTATCAGCAACAAATATTTTACTATGTTTCTAATTTATATTAATTAATATAATTCAATATAACTCAATTATTTGACTTCACCGAGGTATTAAAATTGATGAATAGTGAATTTGACGCATCCCATTTATTTTATAATACACTCTCATTAAAATACCTTAATAATTCACGTTTAAGGCTAATTAATGGGGACTTCACTACAAGGCGTATGTCGTCAAAATATTGGGAGATATGCATCAGATAAAACGTATAAGTAGAAATTTATCTACTGGCAGAAGTTATAAAGAAATTGTTCTAAAATTATAGGTTAGATCTTCTGGACATTGAAGGTAAACCAGCTTATATATCATTAGCATAAAAGATGTTCTTATTTGAAACTAATATCAGTCTCGTTTATGTTGAATTTATATGGTCTATTAAAGTTAAATACTCGAAATAAACATAGATAAATTATACAAATAGTTTACACAGTAAAATGTTATGATACTAAGACTTTTTGTTACTGGAAGGTACGTTTTCCTGCAAATGGACTCGATTATTAAATAAAATACAATGAAACATTAGCTAAAAAAAGTATTTTTCTACTCGTTTCAATATTTTTTCGCATCGATCCCGTTTTATTTGTAATGCTACCACTAGATGGCGATGAATATATCTCTTGCACACAGTCAGTTTTTTTTTTTGACAATATCAAGATGTTCTAACTGTTTATTAAACAAGAAAACTGCAGCTGCTAGTAAATTACTTACAACAGTAACAAAAACCTGGACCATTTTCCCTGAAAATATAATAAAATGTCGGAGTCGGTCGTAGTATTTAATAATATGTGAATAACACCACTGAACCAACTCGTTTAAGTAAGAGATACGGCAATAAATCGCACGCGTTGCGCTCCATGCAACATAGTAAGCTTTTAGCGAAACGTCACAACACCAGACGATTTGGACAAATCGCACAGTTTTCTTTGATATATGCCCGTAATTGTGTAAATTTATTCGAGTTCGCATCGCGTCTGCGTGTCTGGTTTCTCCCCGATAAATTACGGATTAAACTTTTTACTCATAGATTAACTACTCTGTTTTATGCCTGGGACATACTAAATGGGATGACACATCGTCGACTGGTTATCCACTATTCCTTTTTTATCCTGAACGAGGTAGATCCTTACAACACACCAAGAAAGTATGTTTGAAGTGTATTATGCACAAATTGACAAATTGAATTTTAATTTTATATCAATGTATCAGGTCTATAAACAATAAAAAAATGAATGTATTTAAAGTAAAAAAGAATTGGCCACACGACAGTAGTGTCTCTTGTAATATACAACATGGGACAGGTGGCACAGAACATACGAATTCTATCAGTTCTCCGCGTGATATCGAACACCTAAATATCGAATTTCAAAATTATTGGGCAACCGGGCAGGAATACTACAAACTAGTTTAAAATTAATTGGAAACGTCGCCAATAAACATATATTTTTATTACATTGTTTATGTTAATGAGACACGTATGTATATACGGTCCAATTATTATCGGTTTTGCATAAATTCCGATGAAGACGAGGCGTGAATTATTGAATTTGATTAGGTTTGTGTACTGCACCTGGAAGCGGCTTGAAATTCTGATTCGATTTAATTGAGATTTATATGTACAAAGGGTGTTACGATAACCACCTTCATTTCACTTATTTTAATACTGTATGATTTATTAGCTCTTGTTAGAAACTAACTTTGTTAGTAGAAAATAGGTACAATTTCTTCAAAAAAAAATGTATTGTGTACAAGCGCGATGCTGCTAATGCATTTTGTCTCGCTTCGCCGTAAATTAAACGATTATTATGCATTGCTGTGTACATATCACTAATGTAAATGAGCCATGGCCACTAAAAAACCACAGTAACACTAAGTTAGTAGGCTTGATTAAAAGACATAAATTTAACGTTTTGTCCGGCCCAAATAAATTTATCCAAACCATTGCTGATGCACGTTAGTCGGTTTTTCCACGATTTTTCTGGCCTTTTTATTCAAATTCTGTGCCCAGAGAAATTTCCAGATCAGCGAAAGTTTAACAGTTGATAGAAAATACTGTTTAAGAAGAAATTATTATAGATTTTAAAGCTCATACTGAGTGCCGTAGTGATCAATTCCAATGAAAAAGACCTCATTCCACTTTACCATTGCCTCACAATTGATATTTAAATGTCTTGTAACTGTCTGTCTGTGCTCGCATTTAAATAATTTATTCAAATTAATATGATATTGTGAGCAGCAAATGACACATATATAAAGAAGAAAAAACGAGACATATATCACTCGGTGTCACCTCTACAACATTGTATAATTGTACAATAGACTTTGCCGCTGTTCTACTTGCATTAATTTTATTTATCAAACTATGATTATACAGCCCGTTAGTTGCTTGAATACCAATTGATAAGTGTAATTTCAGTTCAAAGCTAGAATATAATTTTTAAAAAAATAACATTTGTGGTCATATGTAAGCATAAACTGACCCCGTTCATAAAAATTCTTTACGGCACCGCTCTTGATCATAATCGAAAGCGACAGAGACCAAGTCGCTCATTTGTCTATGATTGGAAGTAAATAACCCAAAACGGCATCACAATGAATTTATTTCCCTTATTCGTTCGCGTTTTAAACGTATTAGTACCATGACAAATACGCTGTTTCAGACACCATTTGGCTTAAATAGCAAGAGCGGTATGCAGCCTTCCATGGTAACTCGTATAGAGACGCCTGAGCATCTCCAGAATTATGCTGCATGCGAAGAGGAAAATTATATTAATTAAAAAAGTCTGCTGACGCTTTGAATAAGCTTTGTTTTCTTTGTATGCTATCAATTGTCAGTATCCGTTTACACTTTCTCTACTCCTAGAAATCCGCAGTTAAAAATGAAACGGACACACGAATTTGGAAATTCAAACCAGTCAAATTCGTTACTTAATCAAGATGATGAATTAAAATGAATATCAAAAATTCAGTGATCTTTCTTTCTACCCGACTGTAACTATTTCTATCATCAATTATCATAAACAACGCTCGCTATATCCACTTAATATATAGATTTTAAAAGCTGACTTTTTCTTCGAGATGCGGCATTAACGAGGCGGTATCTCTGAAGGCGAAATCGCAAAATCGTACAGCGACCATTAGGGAACTGACAATCTGCCGCAGCGGCTTGAAATGTCACTGGAAGAGCCGTCGAGGACATTAATGCGAATTCTATGGTCGCCTTTAATTAAGTGTCTCACTAAAAGATGCCTCACGCATATAGTGTGTGCGAGCATCCACCGCCATTGTCATAGCTCAATGATGCATAGGCCGTGTCGTGGGAAATCGTTGACCCTTGCGAATTGCATGGGTTACGCCCAGCTCGGACGGCGTGGTGACCTTTGGAACGTTAGGAGCTTGGTGGGTTCGTCTTTGATAGGGATAGAGATTGAGATATTCGGCTCTGTCATCGAGAAATCGCTCATATTTTGAATAATATCTACAAATATATCATCAAAATGCAAGTCATTTTTAAGCACTGTTCTTGGTGGCATACATTACATGTCCTCATAAGTAAAAATCTAATGGAGTTAGATCTGGGGTACGAGCCGACCAAAGATACTGACCGTTTCTACCCATCAATGTCTAAAATTATTATCTAAATGTAGGACAATGCATTGGGTTACATGTACTGGTCCTACCACATCCTGCAAAAAGCACGGGTTTCCTGTTACATCCAAAGGCATATCTGCGAGTTATGTTACAATGTTCTTCAAGACATTCAGATGTGAATCTCCTGTCAATATGCCTAGCATGACAAAAAATTCTTCATATTAAAATCGAGCTATCCTTTTTGTTTAAA